AAGTATTGTCCAGCACCGTCCTCTGTGCCCGCTGTGACCTCATAGGCCTTGCCCTGAGCCGCTCTTTGGTTCTTACAGTAGCTCTGCATCCCTATCCGTCACCCTCCTGAGGCCCGGAGAGATTAAGTGACTTTGCAGGGCTGAGACTCAAACCCATGTCTGTACCCTTCCCACCATATCACGTGACCCCTGCTCAGTGGACTCCCCAGGTCCATGGCCATGGTCACTTTTGAAAGAGTTACACAGTTGTTTGTGCAGAGGGATATTGAATGGAGGGGCGGGGGCGTCCGGTGTCCTCTCCTGGGCGCCCTCCTGAGGCCCTTTTTGTGCTGTGTGACGTCAGGGACAGAAGCTCAGGGCAGCTTGCCAGTAAAGGGTGGCTTTTCTTCCTGTTTCTTGTGTCTGACGACCTGACCCAGCACATCACTTTCTGTTCCTTGAGTGAAGGGGGAACACACAAGGGCTAAACATAGCCTCCATTGTCTTTACTTTTCTTGCCTTGTACTTCTTCAAGAGACAAAGATAGTAACAGTTAAACACTCTCTGCCCTTCAGATGGACCAGGCGGCCACCTGGCTGGTGTTGAGTTGCAGTAGCAGTGCTCAACATTGGGCTGTGTGTGGTGTTTCGAGAATCTCGGACATTATACCACTGGCCAGACTCCCGGCTCCTTCACATGCAACTGTCCACGGCCTTGGTAAAGAGGGGAGCTGAAGGCAGAGCCCAGCTCGAACCTCCCTGACCAAGGATAAAAGACCAAGTGAGGCCAAGTGAACACCCACAGCTGGCTCTGCCGCTTTCCGGCACACTCTCTGCTCCTTCCTTTACCTACCACCACCGGCTAAGGTCTGCGGTGTGCCGGGCTCCGTGCCGGGTACTGGGGGGCCATGCCGGGTCTTGACAGCTTGTGGCTCAGTGGAAGCAGACATGCAAACAGATAATTAAGGTTCAGTTAACGTCTGAGCCATTATATTGAAAGTCAGACAAAGAGCTGTGGGCGCCCAGTGGCTAATATGGAGAAGGCACATCTACAGAGAAGGTGATATGGGGTTGGCTCTTCTGGAAGGAAGAGCCCCTTGCTGGAAGGATGAAGGCAGAAGAATCATCCAGGCCTTTGCAAAGGCGCAAGGGCGTGAAAGAGCTGATGTTCTGGGGAAGCGGTAGATTCATTGCAGACCCATCGCTCTCATATCCGACCAGTGGACCCAGTTGAGAACTGAGTCTTAATCATTTCAACAAGGAGATCTTACTGTTAAGGCCATGGGGGTTCCTCTTCAACCGGAGTGGAGTGGTTGGTTCCCGCAGGCGAGCAGGGATCTGATCGTGAACCTGAGCACAGGTGGGGCACCCACCTCAGCTTGCAGAAGTTCCCTGTGCTCATTCCTGTGGCTGCTTCATTAAACTCTCGCTGTATTTTATTTATTTTAAATTTTTAATGTTTTTTAAATTTATTTCTGAGAGACAGAGACAGCATGAGCAGGGGAGGGTCAGAGAGAGAGGGAGACACAGAATCTGAAACAGGCTCCTGTCTCTGAGCTGTCAGCACAGAGCCCGATGCAGGGATCGAACCCACGAACCGTGAGATCATGACCTGAGCCGAAGTCGGACGCTTAACTGACTGAGCCACCCAGGTGCCCCTAAACTCTCGCTGTATTAAGAATAGCTGTACGTAAGAACTGCTCTCCGGGCTGTGTCCGCAAACCAGGGGGAGTGGGCTTTATGGGCTCTTTCAGGGGTCGTTGAAGATGGTTTTGACTCTGCCTGCTTCTCGTCTGATGTCTGATGTCACAGGAAGTTCAGGTGTCTGGGGCAGGGTGAGCTGGGGAGACGGGTAGCTGGGGTCTGGATGGCAGGCTAAAACGTGTGCATTCTTTCTGCAAGGCCATGGGCAGCTGCCCGGGGTCCGACGGTGCTAGCCGTGGGCCCGGGAAGTTCTCTGGACACCGTGAGGACGTGAGCCTGGAATGGAGAGGCCTGCGGGTCTGTCAGGATGCACCAAGGTCACGACGTGGCCGAGTTGGAGAAACGGCACTGTCACACGAGAGGGACCGAACGGTCTGCTTAATTGGCTCCCAAGTCCCTTTAAACTTCTCATGACTGCCCTGGGGATGGGAAAGTCCCAGGGCAGTGACATTAAAATGGAATCGAAAGGGGTATCCTCTGAGGACGGGATCAGTTCTTTTTAATTTCACGCGTTTCCCAAGGCCTTGAGCAGAGACTGTAGGGAGGTACTGTGGCTCCTTGTTGGGGCCCTCGCTGCTCTGTGGCTGGGCCCTGGGTACTTCCTCAGTTGGCCACATTCCTCCTGGCCCATCTGGTGCCTCAGGACCTTGTCCCCAAAGAGAAGTTGGTGGCCAGCGTTCTTGTTAGGGAACTCCCGGAAAGACCAAAGGAGCAAACCCAGAGGAGGCTGGGATCATAGGCCCCGCCCTGCCCTCACCCTGGCCCCGCCCCAGTGGGCTTGGTGGCCACATCCCCCACACGTTTGGAAACAGATTTGTCCTTATAGAGAATGTGGAAACCATAGGAGAACAAAAAGGAAAACATAGAAATCAGCCAGCTCTCTCATTTGACTGTGAATATTTTGGTTTATTTTAATCTTCACGTTTAACAAACGTATTTGACAAAACAAGAATCCTGCTGCCCGTATGGGTTTTCCGCCCCGTTTCTTTAGGTTTGGAATTACACCACTCACATTTCTCCACATCATTAATACTCTCTGAAACGGTGCTCTTTTCATGCTCTGTCCTCCTCCCTGGTCCTTTATGTCACCAGCCCCGGCTGGAGGGCGTTTCAGTTGTGGCTCCCATTCTGCTGTCACCCGCGTCACTTTGCAGGCCATCGCGGCACACAAACCGTCACTTGGTTCTGAGGGTAACTTTTCTTTTTGTAAAGCAGATAACAGGTAGTTTTACTTTATTATTAGTTTACTGATCTTTCAACTGCTAACAGTTGTCGAATCGAAACTGGCTTCAAAGAATGGCGGCCGCTGCAGGGGACAGCGGGCAGTGAAGACTTATTTCGAACAGCATACCTGCTACTTGCACAAAGGCAACTCATGGTGATAATTTGTCAAATTTAGTTCAAGGGCCGTGCGTGCACCGGGGCCCAGGAGGCTTCAGGGAGGAGATGAATTGGACATTTGGTGTCTGTCCTGGTTTGGCCCCGGCTGGGCTGGGCTTATGGAAAATCTCTCCTCCGCATCTCTAGCTTCTGAGGCCCTCTCGTGGGAAGAGCCTCTGGACAGTTCTCCCAAACTTGTCCCCTGCCTGGGGTCCCAAGCCTTAGGCGTATCTCGTAGCTGTGGCAGGGCACCCCAGCTGAAGGACTGTCACCTTTAGCCCTGATTTCGCTTGTGAGCCTTCTTTTGGGCCTCACTGGTCAGTTCCCTTTGAGCCTGTCCAGTAGCTGCTGATACTCAGCCCAGGGTCCGTCGTTCAATGTCTCTCTGTGTCCTTTGAGAAGTGGCCTAAGGGCTTGGGACCCTGGGCCCAGGAGTTGCATATGTGGTCCCTGCAGACTGGTGCACGCCTGTGGGTTTCACCCTGGTTTTCTGAGTGGATGGCCCACCCTGGACGACCCCTAAACTCGTGAAGGGCAGGGCCGATGTCGGGCTCCCTGTGGTTCCCCTCAGCTCTGCAGCGTAGTGAAAAGAGCAGAGCTCTGCGTTGGGCCAGCCTCTGCTCACTTGGGTGGCCCTGGGCCCCTTACTCAACCTCCCTAGTCTCCGTCTCCCGATCTGGGCAGCGATGGTATACAGGGCGCCTTGTGGGTCAGAGCGGCCAGGAGGCCATCTGCTCCCCGTGGGGGTGATTGCCGGCGGTGCTGTGAGAACTGGTGTGTGCCAAGCCCCTACTGAACGTCATTTCAGGTTTTCCTTCCGTCCTACAGACCGCACGACCCAAGCCGTCGTTTTCGGTATATTCCCGTGTGTACAGTTTATAAATGTGTGTCGATTTCAAAAAACAGAAACATGCCGCTCTGTTGGTTCGTGGAAGCACAACGTGTGTCTTAACTTTGCTTTTGTGTGATAAACTTGAATATGAGAGCTGGGTCAGGTTTCTTTGTGCCTGGCCTCCTAAAATTCTCAGCACAGGGCCTGATCCCACAGTAGAAAAACAACAAATAGGTCTTGAATATTTCACTGAAACGAAGGTTCAAGTGCAAAGTCAGCATTTCCTAGCAGGGGTAGCTTATTTACTTGTGTGTTCAAGGTGGAGGCCGGAGTATGTAAGTGTAAATTGTACCCTTAAGTATGTGCAGCCCAAGACGCGCTCCTGCAGATTTTAACGGCTTTGAGTGTCCTCGGTTTGCGTGAGAAATTGGGTGAATGCAGGAGAGCCCCGTGATTGGCGGCTGTTGGTGACGATGATGTTGGGGAGCGTTGGGATGGAGGAGGCGTGAATCAGTACAGTGTCCAGTTCCTATTGTCAGCAGGTATTCCAGGGATGGACTTCAGATGAACTAACCCGGCGGTACCCCCCTCCCCCACCATTCGACCTTGACCTTCCCAAGTACCAAAAGTCTCCTCTTTGGTCTCCTGCCAGGGCATTGAGTCCCAGCACCCAAGCACCGAGAGGGGGCAGAGGGGTGTAACAAACATACTGCCCTGACCCTGCAGGCCGGGGGAGGGGCGGGGCAGCTCGATTTCCCGTCTATAAAATGGGAAAGCATTTGGGTGAAACCTGTTGTTTTGGACTTTCCTGGGAGGGAGTAGGGACCTTTGGAAAGGAAGCTGTACCAGGAGGCCTGGGGGCGGGTGGGGTGGAGGGGTGGGTACATGCATCCTAGGCCTCGCTCTGCTGCTGACGCAAAACTTTGGGCTTCCCGTCCCCTCTCTGAGCCTCAGTTTCTCATCTATACACTTAGGTTGGACTGGATGGGTTTTAAAGGCCTTCCTAGCTCTAAAATCGTGTTTAAAACAAGCTCTTGGTGAGGAGATAGAGGGCCGGCGTAGAGGACTTCTCAAATCCTGTTTTCTCTTTGTCGTTTCTGAACCAGAAAATGACAGATGGCGAGACCTGGACAGGAAATGCCCTCTTCAGATCGAGCAGCCGAGCGCCAGCATCTGGGAGTGCCTACCCGAGAAGTGTCAGGACAGCGCCCTGTGGCACCGGGAGGCAGCGACTGCCTGCGCGGTGACCAACCTGATCAAAGACCTCAGCCTCAGCGACCACAACGGGAACCCCTCAGCACCCCCCAGCAAGCGCCAGTGCCGGTCACTGTCCTTCTCTGATGAAATGTCCAGCTGCCGGACATCATGGAGGCCCTTGGGCTCCAAAGTCTGGACTCCGGTGGAGAAGCGGCGCTGTTACAGCGGCGGCAGCGTCCAGCGCTATTCCAACGGCTTCAGCACCATGCAGAGAAGCTCTAGTTTCAGCCTCCCTGCCCGGGCCAATGCGCTCTCCTCGCCCTACGACCAGGCGGGATTCCACCACCGCTTTGGGGGTCAGCCCTGCCAAGGGGCGCCGGGCGCGGCCACCTGTGGACAGGCGGGCGACATCTGGAGCCCCGACCCGAACCCCGTGGGCGGCGGCCGGCTCGACATGCAGCGGTCACTGTCTTGCTCGCACGAGCAGTTTTCCTTTGCAGAGTACTGTCCACCCTCAGCCAACAGCACACCTGCCTCAACACCAGAGCTGGCCAGGCGCTCCAGCGGCCTGTCCCGAAGCCGCTCCCAGCCGTGCGTCCTTAACGACAAGAAGGTGGGCGTTAAGCGGCGGCGCCCGGAAGAGGTGCAGGAGCAGCGGCCTTCCCTAGACCTTGCGAAGATGGCACAGGTAAGAGCCCCGGCCACGTGGGAGGCCCTGCAGGGGCTTATGGGAACCAGCGCTGGTCCCCGCCCGCCCCAGGCAGATGCGCGCGGCCAGCTTCGGAAATGCCCAGGAGTGGGTTCGTTCCTTGGTTTTTTAAGTCCTGTTCAAAGAAAGAGGATACCAAGTTTATATGTTAATTTTGGTGTCCGTTTCCCTCCGTTTAAAATCAGAAATGCTCGTTCCCTGTGAACACAATGCTAGTGGTACAGGAGCTGACATGGCGAGAGGTGAGGTGTTGGGAGGCAGAGCATCGTCGCCCAGCGCAGGCGATCCCCTCCCCACCCCGGCACCTTGCTGGGGCCTCTGCCCTGGAAACCACATCTCCGCAGCACAGGCCAGGACTCCTTGTCCCTCGGATTATGCTGGTCCTGAGGTCAGGACTGAGGGTAGTGGTTCTAGAGGGTTCTAGAGGGTTCTAGAGGGCGAGGGATTGGGGAAGTACTTAGTCCTTGGATTAGACTGTCGACAGTGTGAGACCATCAAGAAATTGTGATCACTGTCCTCTGTGCCACCTCTGTCGTCATCCTCGCTGTTCACGGTAGGCGAGGCCTGCAGCCACAGGTGCCATCCACTGTCCTTTATCGTCTGCATCTGGGACCTTTATCGTCTGCATCTGGGAGCCCCGCCTCGTGCTGACCCTGATCGCGGGCATGGATTTGAACGGGATGAACTTGGAGTTACTACACCGTCTTTAGGATAGTCTCTGAGCCTGAGTACCGCCTGTGATTGGTTCTTACTGAGGAGGCCTGAGGCTGTGAGCTTGGCCATGAGCCCCAGGGAGGGATGCGTGGGGGGGTGGGGAGTGGACGCAGTCTGTGTCTAGGAGGTCCTGTGCTTCGTGCCACGGCTTCACCGTCCTCTTTGCTGGTCTTGTTCCGGAAGCACCGGTCACCGCTGGGTGTGAGGGAACGGAGGGCGGCTGGCCTTGCTCACGCAGCCTGTGGCCGCTTCTGGGCAGGCAGGCTCGTGCGTCCCCTCCCTTTGGTGGGCGCGACGGCTTGCCTTCAGTGCCCAGGGCTGCTTTTTCAGCTGGGCCTCCTTTTGCTTTAGAGTAAAAATGCCGCTTCTGTTGATGGCATTTCCTTCTCTAGCCCCCGCTCCCAGCCTGGAGACCTCCCCACCCGCCCCCAAATGAGAAGAGGGGCAGGTGTCTCGAGCCCTGAGCATGCACCTTGCCCCAGAGTCCAGACTGTCTGGGCCTTTGCTCTAGAGCCCGGCCGTGGCCCTGGGCGCAGCTGGAAAGCAGGCCTCTGACGGGCTCTGCCTCCCGCTCCCCCGTGCTGGGGAAGACCCCCCCCCCTGCCCTCCAGCCCCCATTCCTTCCGTCCCCGCTCAGGTGTGTCCCTCTCCTTCTCCCAAGTTGTGGACCCATTTTGCTTCGCCAGCTAGACCACGGCTGAACGTGTTCATTTGTGTTGGACTTGTGGGCGGGATTTTCCTTCTCAGGAGAAACCCAAGTAGGTAAAAAGGATGGAAAGGTGACAGTTTTGGGTGACTTCTGAAGGAAACCCAGAGCGCTGAGTTCTGGGTGCGATAAAATGGCCTCAGTTAAATGTTTAATGTTGAGCTTATTTTATTAGCTGATAAGCTAGATAGGTAATAAAAACAGCTTTCACATGTCATTATGTTTTACTGGCCACAAGTTGGAGTAACACCACTGGCATCACTGGAGGCGTGTCCCGTCCTCGCTCGGGTAGGAACTGTTTGAAACGCTCTTGCTCAGCGGGGCTGCGCCCAGATGTGTAGATTGTTTCATCGGCTCCAGGCAGGCCTCCAAGATCCCTGTGAGGCCGCCCCGATTCCGCCTGCCTTTCTCTAGCCAAGGCCCGGGTAGGGCAGAGTCCGGGGAGAGTGTGGAAGGGGCCCCTGGGAAGTGTGTGTGCCAGAAGGAGACGACTAGAGCCCTGGGGATGGAAGGACCCCGAGCCTCTAGAGCCCCGGCCAGTCCTGTCCCCGCGGGGCGCTGCCTGCTTTGGCGCCTCCTTTGTATAATGTATGGCCTCACGAGGTGCGCCTTGCTTTTCCAGGGGCCTTTTTAAAAGCCAGGCCTAAGGCAACCCCAGTGCCTTTGCAGAGACCCCCGGGTCCAGCCTGGAAGATGTAGGGCCCTCCTCCTGGGAACCCCATGAGCCAAGCATGTCACTGGTGTCTGGACACCTACCCACAGCCAGGTGACAGCTGACGTGGCACTGCCCAGGTGCCAGCCCCCTTTCTCAGCGCTCGTTATGCTGGGGCCGGAGCAGGGACTGCGCGTCCCCAGAAAGATAGGCTTGCAGCTAGGCTCGGCACTGCTCTGCTTCTCCAACCTGGATCTTCGTCTCTCTTTTCGTAGGTCTCATGATCTTGGTTTATAAATATTCACTTTTCTGGGGGCCAAGGGGTTCTAACGGAGCATTTTTGTGAAGGAGCCCCTTCGTGTGTGTGAGTCTGGGACCAGGTGTATGAGCTTCTCACATCGAAGAATCAGAGTGCCTTTTCGGTCAGACCCTTGGGGTGACTGGGAGCTCTCAGAAACCCCGGCTTCCAGAGGTGCGGACTGGGGCCGGGTCCTTCAGGGCACACCTCCCGAGGTGTGGGTGGGCGTGTAGGAGCTTTTCTCCAGCCATCAGTCAGGGTGCCCAGCGCGGGGGCGGGGTTACCCAGAGCCCTTCCAGGCTTGTCCATCCAGCCCATCCTGCGGAAACTGAGGTCCTTCTAGAACATGGTGTCCACTTTTGGATCTGCGTTTGGGGCCTGGGAGCACATCGACAAAGCAGAAGGCCTCCAGGTGAGGGGCAGATGGCTGGCAGCCCTGGGCAGATTGCTTGACATCTCTGTGCAGCGAAGAATACCATCCCCGCTGCTGCCTTTGCTCCTCCGTAGGACTGTCAGGAAGAATAAGGGATTTAACGTGTGTGCGTGTGTGTCTGTGTCTGGACGTGCAGATGTGTGTATGTGTAGGCGTATGTGCGCCTCCGTATGTGCGTGTCTCCTTGCCCGTCCAGCGCCCCAGCTGGTGCGCAGTGAGCGCGGACAGATGCCCGTTGTTGCCGTTGCACACCTTGGGACGGGAGGCGTGGGCTCGCTCTGGGCAACTCTGGAGGCAGAACTGGGAAGGGGGGTGATGGCCCCAGGGGGCACACAGCCCCTTGTGAGGATTCCCTTCTTTCTCTATTTTCCCATCTCTTTCCTTCTGTTTCCCCTTCCCTTTTCTGTCCTTGCCATTTACTTCCTCTTCTTTGTTCCTTTTCTTGCCTCGTCCTTTCCTTCTGAGAATGGGGACGAGGACTGCCCCTCAGCTCGGCTCAGCCTGCGGTGAGCTCCGTGCTCAGAGCCGAGGCTTGTGAAGTGGTGTCGGGGTCGGAATCCCCTCCGCCAGGGGAGGCGGGCCATGTGTGAGCATTTTGTGTCACTTTTGTTGCCCAGGGGACTAGGCAGACCTGATCTCGGGATGCCCCGCCCTGGCCCTGGCCAGCACCTCTGGGCACAGCTGGCCAGCAGTGGCCGATGTCTGTCGGGCAGCGAGGCATTGCCTTCAGACCGTCTGCCCTTGCCCAGGGCGCGGGCAGGGATGCCGAGCGAGGCCGCAGACGGCTCCTGCAGCGGGAGAGGAAGGCTGACGCGAGGAGCATCCTTGCTGGGTGACCTGGCACAGGGACCCAGCCGGGGGCGCCCCGCCCCGCCCCGGAATTGCCATTGCAGCCTCGCGGCTCCCAGAGCAGCTGCCCGAAGGCGGCCCAGAGGGTCAGTCACGCCCGCCCCAGCCCAGGTCACACTGTGCTGACCTCCCGCTCAGCTTTCCCCACGTGACCCCTTCTGCCTGGCATCTTGCGTGAATGTGTGCCATTGAGAGCAGGCCCGGCCGAGCGGAGGAGTTGTTTATCGGCAGCACTTCTGCTGACACGGTTATCAGTTCCTGCTGCTTTGAGACTCGGCGTGACCGCCACACACGGGGTGACTTCCCGAGAGACCTGCGCAGTGGCCATTTAGGCGCAGGTCACACGTGTGTGAGCCAAGATTGCAGATTGCGGGGGGTGGGGGGGGGAGCAGCGATGAGAAAGATACACCCGCCGAACGCCGTGCCCCTGGGTGTCGTCGTCCCTGCTGCACTTTCGACTCCAAGCTGGTCAGGCTGCAAGAGCAACAAATTGTATTTCTCAAGAGCGCTTCAAACAGAAGCGGGGCGCTTGTGAGGAGGGGTCGGGACGCTGAAACAGAGATCTGATTGATGGCTGCTGCCCACACGCCGCGTCCTCACACCTCCCGGAGCCAGCGCCAGAGCAGGCGGCGACTGTTGTGTTAGCAGATGTGCGAGGGGCCCCGAGAGCCGGCGGGGGCAGCGCGGGGCAGGGGAGAAGCGCGGGGCAGGGGAGAAGCCGGGGCAGCGGAGAAGCCGGGGCAGCGGAGAAGCCGGGGCAGGGGAGAAGCCGGGGCAGCGGAGAAGCCGGGGCAGCGGAGGAGCCGGGGCAGCGGAGAAGCGCGGGGCAGCGGAGAAGCGCGGGGCAGGGGAGAAGCCGGGGCAGCGGAGAAGCGCGGGGCAGGGGAGAAGCTGGGGCAGGGGAGAAGCCGGGGCAGGGGNGGGGAGGAGCCGGGGCAGGGGAGGAGCCGGGGCAGGGGAGGAGCCGGGGCAGCGGAGAAGCCGGGGCAGGGGAGAAGCGCGGGGCAGGGGAGAAGCCAGGGCAGGGGAGAAGCGCGGGGCAGCGGAGAAGCGCGGGGCAGCGGAGAAGCGCGGGGCAGGGGAGAAGCGCGGGGCAGCGGAGAAGCGCGGGGCAGCGGAGAAGCCGGGGCAGCGGAGAAGCCGGGGCAGCGGAGAAGCGCGGGGCAGCGGAGAAGCGCGGGGCAGGGGAGAAGCCGGGGCAGCGGAGAAGCGCGGGGCAGGGGAGAAGCTGGGGCAGGGGAGAAGCCGGGGCAGGGGAGAAGCGCGGGGCAGCGACTGTCCCCAGAGAACTGATCCAGGACGAGCCTGAGAGACGAGTCCAGGGGCG